TGTTGTTGTTGTTGTTAGGTGCCATCTAGTTGGTACTGACTCATAGTGACCCTATACACAACAGAACACTGCCTAGTCCTACGCCACCCTCACAATTGTTGCTACATTTGAGCCCATTGCTGTACCAATCCATCATGTTGGAGGTCTTCCTCTCTTTCTCCACTCTATCAAACATGATGTCCTTATCCAGGGACATGTTCCTCCTGGTAATATGTACAAAGTATGAGAGACCAAGTCTGGATATGTTTGCTTCCAAGGAGCACTGTGGCTACACTTCTTCCAACACAGTCTGTTTGTTCTTTTGGCAGTCCATGGTACTTTCAATATTCTCCTCCAACACCATAACTTTAAATGCATCAACTGTTCTTAGGTCTTCCTTATTCACTGTCCAACTTTCGCATGCATATGAGGTTATTGAAAATACCATGGCTTGGGTCAGGTTCACCTTAGTCCTCAAGCTGACATCTTTGCTCTTCAACAGTTTAAAGAGGTCTCGTGCAGTAGATTTCTCTAATGGAGTATGTTGTGTGATTTCCTGATTGCTGCTTCCATGAGTGTTAGTGGTAGATCTGAGTAAATGGAAGTCTTTGACAACTTCAATCTTTACTCCATTTATTTGGATGTTGTTTAGTGGTCCAGTTGTGAGGATTTGTTTTGTTTTGTTTTACATTGAAGTGGAACTGATACTGAAGGCTGTTGTCTTTGATCTTCATCAGTAAATATTTTAAGTCCTCTTTGCTTTCAGCAAACAAGATTGTATCATCTGCTTATCACAGTTTGTTAATGAGTTTTCCTCTAAACCCGATGCAGCATTTTTCTTCATATAAAACAGTTGTTTGGATTACTTGCTCAGCATACAGATTGAGTAAGTATGGTAAAAGAATACAACCCTGGCACACACCTTTCCTAATTATAAACCATTCAGTGTTCCCTTGTTAATTTCGAACAACTACCTCTTGGTCTATGTATAGGTTCCTCATGAGCATAATTAAATGCTCCAGAATACTCATTCGTTGCACTAATGTTCATAGCTTGTCATGATCCACACAATCGAAAGCCTTTGTGTAGTCAATAAAGCACTAGTAAACATCTTTCTAGTATTCTCTGCTTTTAGCCAAGATCTGTCTGATGTCAGCAATGATATTCCTCATTCCTCTTTCTGTATCTGGCTCAAACTTCTGGAAGTTCTCAGTCAGTATATGGTTGCAGCCATTTTTAAATTATCTTCATTAAAGTTTTACTTAAGTACGATACTATGATTTCCGCATTCTGTTGGGTCATGTCTCCTTGGAATGGGAATAAATATGGATCTCTTACAATCAGCTGGCCAGGTAGCTGTCTTCCAAATTTCTTGGCATAAATGAGTGAGTACCTCCACTGCTGCATCAGTTTGTTGAAAGATTTCCCTCTGTATTTCATCATTTCTCAGTGCCTTGTTCTTTGCCAAGGCCTTCAGTGTACCTTGGACTTCTTCCCTCAGTATCATTGGCTCTTTATCATATGCTACCTCTTGAAATGATTGAACAGCAACCATTTCTTTTTGGTACAGTGACTGTGTGTTCCTTCCATCTTCTTTTGATGATTTCTGCATCATTCAATGCTTTGTCCATGTTGTTGTTGTTGTTAAGTGCTTTAGAGTTGGTTCTGACCCACAGTGACCCTGCATAGACTTTCCAAGGAGCACCTGGTGAGTTTGAACCACGGACCTTGTGGTTCAAACCAACTTTGCAGTCCAGTGAATTAACCCACAGCGCCGCACCAGAACTAGTCCTTCAATGTTAGAAGTTAAGGCTTGAATTTTTTCCTTTAGTTCCCTCAACTTGAAAAATGCGGAGAATGTTCTTCCTTTTGACTTTCTAACTTTAGGTCTGTGTACATTTTGTCATTAATATTTGACTTCTCATTCTGCTCTTTTGAAATTTTCTGTTCAACTGTTGTACCTCCTCATTTCTTCCATTTGCTTTAGCATCTCTACTTTGGAGAGCAAGTTTCAGAGTCTCTTGTGACATCCATTTTGGTCTTTTCCTTCTTTCTTGTCTTCTTAAAGACTTTTTGCTTGTCTTCTTAAAGACTGGTTAATGCCACTATTCAAATTTATGTTCCAGGAAGAAAGGTAAATTCTGGAGCGTAAATTTGAACAACAGTGGTATTAACTGGTCTTCTATGTAGGCATATGGATATTATTCTATCACAAACAATGTTGCACTTCAAGACAGATCTTAATATGTTCATTTGGATGAATGTGCCCTTCCTCTTCAATTTATCATTGCTGGCATAGTAAACCATGTGATTGGCGGATTCAAAATGGCCAAAACCAGTCCATTTCAGCTCAATAATGCCAAGGATATTGATGTTTATGTGTTCTATTACATTTTTGACAATTTCCAATTTTCCTAAATTCAGAATTCATACATTCTGTGTTCTGATAATTGATGTTGCTGTGGTAGCGTAATGGTTACGATTGGTTACGATTGTGAACCACAAGGTCAGCAGTTCAAAACTACCAGCTGTTCAGTGGGAGAAAGATGAGGCTTTCTGCTCCCATAAAGATTTACAGCCTTGGAAACCCTGTACAGGGTCGCTATGAGTCTGAACTGACTCCACGGCACTTAACAACAACAACAGCTGTTTCCCTTCATTTTGAGTTGTGCCCATCAGCAAACAAAGGTCCTGAAGGGTTTTACTCCATTCGCGTCATCATGGTCAACTCTATTTTGAGGTGGCAGCTCTTTCCCAGTCATATTTTGAGTGCCTTCCACCTGAGGGGCTCATCTTCTGGCACTGTATCTGACAGTATGCTGGTGATCTTCATCATATTCAATATTCAGCAATCTTGTGTTGACAGTGTTCCACTGCTATTCATCAGGTTTTCAGTGACTCAGTATTTGGAAGTAGTCCATCTGTTGTTCTTCCTAGTATGTCTTTGTCTGGATGCTCATCTGAAACCTGTCCACTTTGGGTGACCCTGATGGTATTTAAAATACCCATGGAATAACTTCCAGAATCACAGCAACATGCAAGTGGCCACAGTTTGACAAACTGGCAGGCGAGTGGCAGAAAGGGTTAAAATAGCTTAGCAAAAAGTACGTGTGTATTGACAGCTTTCTAAGTAGTGTGTTGATGGGCATAGGATAAAAATTATATATCTGAGGTAGAGAAGCTGTGGACTCCAGGCTCACAGACTGAGAAAGTCTTTGTGCCTGTGGGCAGGAGGCAGGCTTGCTAAGTGTGCCCTTTGGACATTTTAATGATTATATAGGTTTTGTTTTGTATGTATACATCAAATATTTTGCTTTGTTGATTTGTAAAAATCAAGATATCAAAGGGAAAGCCATAAGGAAGAATCAGGATTAACTTGTTTCAGGGAGGGGATTGTAATCATTGAGATGAATAAAAACATATGATTGGTTGAGGGTAAAGTTTATGATCTTTGTCTGTTAACTTCACTCAATTCACATTAAAAAGTTTAAAAAAAAAAAAAAATCTTAGGAAGTTCAACTTTTTTTTTTTTTCCGAGGCATTGCGATGCCACGGACAGTATGTTGGTCTGGGAACCAAGGGACCTGGACTCCAGCTCTTTTCTCTTGGTGTGTACTCTGAACAGATCATTACTGTGGAAGCCTCAGTGTCTTCCTGAGGCAAAAAGGTCCTTCTAGCTCCCACCTTCTAATTGCCTTGTCCATCAGAGGGTATGGAAGTTAATGTGCTGTGCTGTCC